TCTCTCTCTCTCTCTCTCTCTCTCTCTCTCTCTCTCTCTCTCTCTCTCTTCTCTTCTCTATCAGTCTATTTATCTATCTATCCATCTTCTATCTCTCTATCTGTCTACCTGTCTATCTATCTATCCGTCAATCTCGAGCAGATCTGTCATATATATTTCATCTTTTTTTTTAACCAGTCGCTTTATCTGTCTGTCTGCCAATCTGTTCAGCCACTCCTCAGTATATCTGGCTACCCACTTTTCTGTCTGCCTGTCTATCTATCCATCTGTCTGTCTGGAAGTCTCTCTCTCTCTCTCTCTCTCTCTCTCTCTCTCTCTCTCTCTCTCTCTCTCTCTCTCTCTCTCTCTCTCTCTCTCTCTCTCTCTCTCTCTCTCTCTCTCTCTCTCTCTCTCTCTCTCTCTCTCTCTCTCTCTCTCTCTCTCTCTCTCTCTCTCTCTAATCCTCTGTTCAATATATATGCCTGTGCTGCTTTCGAAATTGTACAAGTCACATTAACAAAATCTACACATAATTCCGAACAATACAAATACTTTAAATTTGTCTATCCTAAACAAAGTTCGTTTTCTTTAATCGTCATCTTAGATGCTCTAACTTATGAAGATCGATTTGCAGTCATGAAATTCAAACGCTCTAGCTAAATGTTTTATACGTAGATTTGTGATATCTGTTATAGTGAATGTGTTTTGCACATATCACGGAGACTTCCTATGTTTTAAATACCAAAGCTTCCTTAGAAATAAACTTGCAGTACTTCTAATATTATTAAGTTATACTTTTCCGACTAAAGCTAAACTGATGTACGATAATCAAAACATTCATGTTCCTCATTGTTGCCAAGCTAATGAATCTATAAAACCTTAAATAACCTTCTTGGCAATTAACTAAATCATAATGAAATTGTCTTTTAATATAAGGTTTATCAAAGCATGATTTATGAAATTATTCCGTACGATAACTTGCTTCCCTTCACACGACATCGAGGAAACGCGATTGTCAACAAACAGCTGATTTTCTATCTGATCTCGTGACGTAAAATTATATAGGTGTTTTTGGCGTCTGGTAAGTCTTTTCTTGGTGTTTTTTCCACATTTAACTAACAGAGGAGTGTTCCCTCTAACAGAATTTTTAGATATTGATGGGTATATCGGAGTAATAATTAGTGTACTTGCTTCCTGATGAAGGGTGTGTTTGGGAATGTTTATGGAAATTCCTAATTAATTTAATTCTCGGCGACAGAAACAAGTATCTAAGGGAGAGAATATCCTCTGGTAGTCTGTTTTATGCTTTATATTCTTGAATTCATGAGGGACCTTGGTTTATAGTTAGTAGTTTCAAAACGAATTCATAGGCCTGGCATTTGGGGATAGCGTTGTGTTGACTTGACTCCGGACACATGCAGAAATAGAGAAATAATGAGCAAAGGCCCCGAAAGAGCACACAAAACATCATCATTAGTTCTAGAACAGCGTCCTATAGATCAATATAAACTTACAATCACTTCCAAAATTACACCGGCAGTGACTTGAGCGATCATTATTACCTCGTCATATTTGGTGGTCACTCTATATTTTCTTTTATTACACCTCCCTGTTTTTTAATTTGTTTTTTTCTTGTTTAGATAGCAACCAGTGCAAGCTCTATTTTGCCAGATATATATGATAGAGTATATTGGGTTAAGGTTTGTTGGCATTTGCCTGAGTACCAAATGTACAGAGGCCATGGCAATGTTGTGACTTAGTCTAGGGCAGATGTGGTCTAATGTTCAGAAATTACCAGGATATTATTCATACAGCAAAGTTTGAATTATTCAGAATAGAAATGTAGAAAGTGATTTCATGGTCTCCAAATTTTATCCTTAGGTAAAACAGCCAACAAACCCCTCCCTCTTAATTTCGGCAAGTATTGCACGGAAAGTTGTGTTTTGCCAGAATATATATGGTGGAGGTTTATTTGTCATCATCATCATCTTATCATTTTCATCATCAGCATCAGCAGCAGCAACAGCTTATTCTTACAAAATAGAGATTTTAAGCAGTTATATACAAGGCTGTTACATCCATGACTTCAGTTTTTGCCTTTTAGGGATGTTGGAGATGGGAACGGAGGCCCAGTGTTGGAGCTCACACCTGCCATGGGCCTCAGCCCAATTTTACATAATCTTTGCATCTCCCCTTTCCTTTTCCTTCTCTTCTCTAATCACATTTTCTGTCCAATTCCTAAGGTATAAGAGACATGCTGGAAGGATTAAGGGCTGACTTTGTGTCAGTCATGAATGGCCTCAGGCAGTCATGTGCACAGTATTCCCTCTGTTAATTGTCTAGCTGTTACCCCACTGTGACCCTGAGGGGCAGACCATTCCTCTTCTCCACATATTTCAGGCTCACTATGGCCAGTAATGAAGATTTTTTACCTTTATTAGGAGCATTGAGGCTTGTCCCTTCATCTGTTTGCTTAGCTGAACTTGAGTTATCTGGTTTCCCGACCCCTGACTCTCTTTTAATCACAGCTCTACCCAGTGCTACTGCTATCCCCGCCTCAATGCTTGATGTCGACTTGATCCATTCCAAATCATCCACCCAGGCCGTTACTGAACCTTCAGAATATATCCCTTCCTCTTTCCCAATATCCTCCACCCCATCTCTTCCTCTTGCACAGTCTCCTTCATTTTCTACCCCCTCCTCTTGCTATTACTCTTCTTCCTTAGTCTGCCTCCCCGCAGTACTACCTTACTCAAACCCACTAACTTTTCCTCTCATCCTCATCCTTCAACTACTTTCTATCTCCACTAATCTTTTGAGTACTCTTTTCAGCCCAAGTGGGATCAATTTTTCATGATTCCGCCCTACAGCCCCATATTCAGACAGTACACTCTTCTTCCACCAGTATATCTAAAAACAAGTATCCTTTTACAGCCATTCTGATTCTTCAGCCCAAGATTCTTTTCTTGTTTTACATCACAGGTATCTGCATGACTGACTTATTACTTTCTTTTCTTTTTTCAGACTCTTCAAGATGTCGGGAAGAGTGCGCACTAGAGTGGATCGTGGGACTGGGGAGATCGTAGCATATAGTGATGCTGCTGTCCGTAATAATTTGGCTGTGATTGAGTACTGTAGAACATCAATGGCTGCGTTGTCTGGAGCTACAGCAGGTAAGCAGAGGTTATTGAAGGAAAACATGTGGAAAACTAAGCAGTGCAAGAATTTTTTCTACTGTGTTTTATTTGGTTTATTTGCACATATGTGGAGAAAGGTTTTCAGGTGATTGCACCTGAAAATGTCAAAAATAGAAAAAGAAAGCATTTTATTACCACAGACCTTTCATTTCAACAGGTATGCTGGGCTTGACTGGCTTGTACGGCTTCCTGTTTTTCTTCCTGGCCGGCCTCATACTGTGGCTAATGCTGCTCTTGAAAGCAGGGTCAAAATGGCAACAGTATTTCGTCAGTCGACAGTCTCTTCTCACCAGTGGCCTTTTCTCTGGCTTGTTCACATACATTCTGTGTTGGACCTTTTTATATGGAATGGTACATGTATATTGATTACTTTTCCATTATTTTGTTTTAAGTGGACTGAAAGTTGTCAATGGATGAATGTGAACAAATGACCAATTTGGAAAACTGATACTGCTAAGAATAAAGATATAAATAATAGGAATGAAACTTGTTAGTTTTACTATTCCATTTGCTGTGAAATGCATATTATCTTTATACAGTATCATTACTGGGGGAATTCAGAAAGCACAACAGTGACTGAAGAAAGCGCTGGAAGAGGAAGTTCATGTTACTGATTTTACATGTATGTGAAGCATGGTATATGAGATGTAGCTGCTTGTTGGCACCTAAGACATTTTCACTTTTAAAAGAGTGAAAATGCCAATAGGTCATAGAAGTCCAAACTACAAGTAATGTAAAAATTCATCATAATGTGAATTATTTGAATATAAGCTAATCACAAGGACCTTTAACATAATACACCCTCCCAATACCAAGGAAAGGAAGATTGAGGCTCAAGGTAGGGAAATTGCCCTTGGGCCTCAGCCCTCACCTCAACTAATTTTGTATGGTCTTTTCTTATCCCCCTTTCCTCTTCTGTAACTTCTTTATCCCCTTCTATCATTTTATTCTTACCAGGGCCAATAATGAAGATTGTATATCTGTATTTGGGGCATTAAAGATTGCCCCTACCTCAACTAACCTATCTGAATTTGTTTTTATTGGTTTTCCAACCTCTGCCCCTCCTTTGACCATGGCTTCAACCACTGATACTATCCCCTCCTCGACATTTACTGACAACTCTATTCATTCTGAACCACCATCCCAAGTCATTACTCAACCTTCAGAATTCACCCCTTCCTCTCCCAGCATTCTCTACTCCATCTCCTACTTCACAGTCTTCTTAAGTCTCCCCTCTTCCCTTATTACTATTCTTCATCTTCATTGTCCTTCCCCCCACAGAATTATTCCACTTCACACCACCCCAAATTCCTCCTGCCCTTGTCTTCTACTGCCTCCGCCTCTGCAGTAGTACTCTCTTTGGCCTAGCCAAGTGGGATCAATACTTCGTGATTCCCCCCACAACCCCTTACTCTAAGAATACCCATCTCTTTCAAGTAGGCAAAGTTTCCTTTCACAGCTTTTCCAATCGTTCACGCCTTGTCACAGTTACATCTGAATCCCAAGCTCATGCACTGTCTACCCTAGCTTACCTCCCAGGCAAACCCATTCCTGCCAAACTTCACCTCTTTCTTAATACCTGTAATGGAACTGTTTCTGTCTCCCCAACTGCTTGTCCTATCTATGACAAGAATTGGTTAGACTGTGAGACCTACTTGCCTGCCTTGTTGATTATGATGCAGTGGCAGTACAGTGCTACATTATTTTTCCCAGAGGTCAGTGTAGGTCTCATAACAATATTGCCAAGATTAGCTCCCATAGGCATGACCTCCCTCGTGAAGTTTATATTAGTGGAGTGTTCTATCATGTCCAACCATATCGACCCTTCCTCGTCAATGTCAGAAATGTTGGTATTTTTGCCACCCAGCCAAGCAGTGTCACTCCACATCCTGCTGCCCTCTATATCATGACCGTTCAAGTTGCCCTGCTCAGTCTAGTACATGTGCCAATTGTGGTGGCTCCCACAATGTATTTTATAGGTGCTGAGCTGCCTATAAGCTCAAATATAAGGTAGCAGTTCTCAGATTCAAGATAGGCCTCCCTCTACATGAGGCCAGACAAGAAGTAAGGCAACAAGATTTTTTTCTCTCTTCTTATTCCAAAAATGTCCTTCACTCTACTCCTCTCTCATCTTCCCAAGATGTCCTAGCATCTCCCACAGTATCTCTTTCCTCTACCTCGAACCATCCTACCTCTACTATTCTCCCCCAGTCAAATTCCTTTTCCCATCTAAATCCAGATACACCAGTCTCTACCACTTCCCTAATATCTACCCCTTCATATCACTTTACAGGTTACCAGGAAACCTAAAAGCTCCACTGCACCTTTCTCTTTCTCTGCTTCTCAGATATCTATCCCCTCTTCTGCTCATAAGAGAACCTTTGTTTCTCATTCCTCTGCACCCAACACCCCCCCAAAAAAAAATTCAAGACATCCAAAACTTCCTAAAGATGCTCCAGGGGAACATTCAACTCCCTCATCCATCCTCCAATCCCTCTGTTCTTACTCCCCCTACATTTAAAGTATTTGCTGATACCCATCCTCCTCCTCAAGTTCCCCCACACTCCCTCCTGCATTCTCCCAACACACCCCACCCTCTCTACCACTCCCACCTGAATGCTCACACAAATCCTCTCTGTCACAACAGTATCCTTCTCTAGACCCCTCCCCTCCTGACACTCTTCTTGATACTTCACCACCTTCCCCAGTCCCTTTTCACATCCCCAGGACTCTTATCCTTCTCCAACAGCCGACTCTGTTTTTTGTGAACAATGTCCCTATTCCTTCCCCAGTCACAAATACACTGCAATTCACTCAATCGTCTTACCCCCTTACTACCCTTTTTACTAATCTCTGCTCTACTTCATTTGCTCCTTTCTTTTCCTTTTTCACTACCATACTATCCTATAACATTCTCTAATCTTTGACATTTACAGTCTTCCATATTATTCTCCTCCTAGTTATCCAAAAGCCATCTCTGTTTTCGGTGAACAATGCCCCTATTCCTTTCCCAGTCACAGATATACTGCAATTTGCTTAATTGCCCTTCCCCCTCAACCCTTCCCCTTTTTACTAATCTCTGCTCTACTTAATTTGCTTCCCTCTTCTCCTTTTTCACTACCATACTCTCCTATGATGCTCTCTGATCTTTGACAATTCATACAGGTTAGCCTAATCTTTAACTCTTCTTTACTCTTTTGCCACAAAACTTTACCATAGTGCTGTATGACCGTTGATGTCTAGCACATTTATTTGTTCCAATCATTAACCATTAACCGTTCTACTGGAGCTGTGTTTTACCGTCAGTACCATGTTCGGATGTGTAAAATCATAATTTTAAAAGTGGGAATACTTTATAACAACAGTTAATCCTTTAAACCTGCAATATTCACATTTTAAGAGGATGCTATATTTGTCAGTGTTTTACAAGTATAGACCCCCCAATCCTTGCTTGTTGTCATGGGGGGGGGGGGGGGACAAGAAGCAGATGGAGACTGAGGCCCAATGTATGGGATCACCATCGCCCCTACCTTGGACCTCAGCCCTCCCCTCAGCTAATTTTGCATGGTCCCCCTTTCCTCCTCCAAACCTTCATCCCTTCCGTCCCATTCCTAAGGTATGAGAGCTGTGCTTTGTGTCAGTCATGAATGGCCTCTTGGGAGCCATGGGTACAGTATTTCTTATCTCTTATGGGGACCCTGATGGGTAGACCATTTCTTTTCCCCCATTTTATTCAGGCTCACAATGGCCAATAATGAAAATTCTTTACCCTTAATAGGGGCATTAAAGCTTGCCCCTTGCCCAACCTTTTCATGACCGTTCAAATTGCCCTCCTAAACATTCTACTACATCCTTGCCTTCCATATCCTCTATTGCACTCTCCTTTTCCTCTGCTCCCTGAACATCTATCCCCTCTTCTCTTCCTCACAGGAGATCCTTTGTTTCACAGTCCTCCCCACCCAAATCCCCTCCAGAAACTCTTTAAAACATCCAAAAATTCCTAGACATGACCCAAGAAAATGTTATATGATCATAGATGTCTAGCACATTTATTTGTTTCAACCATTAACCATTATCATAAGTATAGGCTAAGTTTATTTTAGAAATTTCAACATGCATCCATGTGAGAGTCCACTTTCTTGTAGCCACAAAAAATAAGATAATAATAATAATTATTAATTTGACATCATAGGAAACCAATTTGAGCTCTCAATTTGCTTCTATAACTGAAAGGACACAAAAGAAAACACTTATAAAATTATACTTTAATAATCACTGACAATAGTTATAGTGTACATCATTTGTTGGCATTATACAGTCGTGTTTGTGGTATTCAATGCAGAAATAACGGCAACTCTATGTCCCAGTGAGGCATAAGAAAGTAATGATTCCAGCCTCTTGTACATTGTCATGCAGTGCTAGACTAGTACTGTTGCCTTTTGTAGATTCATGATGGAGGGCAGGTCAAAATAAGTTTGTTTTTTTTTTGTGTGTGCATTTTCTTTTCAAAGGTAAACATTTCACTAGGTAACGGTACATATTCTATTCCAGACCACAAAGTACAGTAATGAAAAGGATCGTTATAAAGATGTGACACAACAAAGGCATAATTGTTTCCACATGACTGAATAGCTTTACGTCTATCTTTTATTATGTTTAATAAGCCTATACTTATTTCCTTTTTTTCAAATACTATTTGTATTATAGTGTTTTAATAGGCCACTGTTAAATCTCTTTGGTTTGCCAGCAATATAATGCAGATATTTCCCCGAAGTCTTGAAATTCACAATCAAATTGTTATAGTCTAAACAAATAAAAGGGCCAGAGCTTTCCATGCATTGTCTTTCAATATACACAAAGGGCAGTATGATTTTTAAAATACAGTCGCAAAAAATAGTGTACTTCATCATCAAAGAGGTGCTTAGGTAAGAAAAAAAAGAAAAAAAAACTAAAAAAAGGTTAACATCAATATTTAAAGAAAAGAAGAGCAAATCTACTCTGGCCCATGGAATGATAGTCAGCATAATGGATTGATTACATAACTTCTATTGACTTCCCAGTATAGTATATAAGACCACTGTCTTTCATCCTCTATGATATACAGAAATTATAGTACAGTTACTGCCAATAGAGCAAGTCAATACATGTGCAATGGAAATCATTCATCAAATATCACAACCAAACCATGACATAACTTGGAATCTATTGATAAACAAATATATTTTTTTATCTTGAATAAATTCCAAAGAGCTGCACAGAATTAAAGCAATCACCGCAGTCAGTGGAAGTCATTGGTTTTAATCACATATTCTAACCTTCTTGATTATTGTACATAATTCCACAGAAATGAAAGTGACTGCTGCTCATGCTGAAGTTTAAACGAGTTTAGATTATCTATTTTCCTTGTCTCTTTTTGAAATAATGTGCAATTAAGTGTCTTGAGTCTTCGGTCACAAGTCTTCTGTTTGTGCAAGAGTAAGAAGTGCTGATGCATGCAGTGCCATGTGTGTCATATCAAGATATCTTTCTTTCAAGCATGAGCATCAATGAGTCACTGAATATTCTCATTTTCTTAAGACTGGATTTTAGGGACTTTCAACATATCTGGCTTCATTAAACAGTATTCTGAACTTCATCACCTTGATGGGGGAAACAAGTATTCAAAATCATCTATTCCAAGTATCATTCCTTCACACAGCCATAATAGACTTCAGATATCATGGTTGTTCAGTACAAAATAAATGTATTTTGAATGTATGATTATGTAGCATTTTAAAGAGTAAAAAGTATCGCTTATCACTGGGAATTGAGCAATTTCCTCAAGAGATGGTGCATATAAAATCCATGATTTTTCGTTACAGTACACACATTCTAGGCCACGGCAGTTACATGCACAAGGCCAGATAATCTCATGCTCCCACAGCTTTTCACAGCACAGAGAGTCTGGAAGACGTAAGCTGCACATTTTTATCTTCTAAGGCTGGAAGATGAGGCCCAGGTTCTCATGGAAGTGTTGCCACAGAAACTGTGCTAAGGAAGGTCTCTCACTGAAATGTTAGAAGAATCAACAAGTTAATATTTTTCTTGTGCCTTTTACAAGTTAATTTTCACCATGAAATTCCTTTTAAAAAATCCAGTTACTTACAGATTAGTATATTAATTTTTATCAAAAATCAGTAAAAAGAAATTGAAGTTACTGTGGTGAGTGTGGTGTAAATTGACATCATGCATTACCTCTACTTCTCTACCCACAATCTCCTTTAATTCAAAATATTTAACAAGAGCATTAACTCATATGCATGCAAAATCACAGAAACTAAACTTCTGTAGTAAAAAGTGAATAAGTGTAGCCAATGAAACCACACGAGCGATCATTCATGCAAAATATTTAAAATAAACATCCAAGAAAACAAACAAAATACACTGTCCCGTCAAAATTCCACAATTTTTTTTTTTGCAAAATGTAAGGGACCAGTTATGTATCAGACTGTTTTTACTTTAATAGTGCAGTGCTGAAATAAAATCAATAATTTACTTCCACATAAAATCATAAACTCTTTTATCATCACAGGCACATAAAAGTAATGAATAAGACATACAACAAAATACCATGAAACAAGAGACATCACAACACTTATGCATCAAAAAAGCTATCATGAACGAAAAAAAGGAAACACAAAAGGCATGTAAGCATTGCTGGTATATCAGTTCTTTACACTGGTCTAACTAGTTTAGCTAATACATGAAGTGGCGCTGTGAAACGAAACGACAACTAAAACTGAACTATTAGGATACAAAATGGTATAAAAATTTGTTTTACTTTGAAAAGGGAAGTACTGAAAATATTCAATTTTGTAAATATAAGAGATACAAACTTTGTAAATGATAATGATACTAATCTTCTACAAATGGAATCTGTCAAAGCTACTAAGTGGCACTAATGCAAAACATATATTTCCACCATCTTCTCTCTAATCTAAATAACAAAATCATAAAAACAAATAGCTATATAGGCCCACACAAAAATCAGATTCTGAATTCTAAAAACTAATATCGTTTAGCATCTATTGAGTTTGTAACTCACATAAATATAATTAGTGCTCAAAATAAAAGTATGCGACTCTTATCAACTGAGTTTCGCGTCATTACTACAGCCATACACTTGAGCTGAATTATTGTACCCTTGGCAGCTTAGCAGTCAACAGTGTGTCCAGTTTCATTTAACACATCGGAAACCACTGTCAGTATAAATTGAATGGCCAAATATACAGGCAATAATGATTATGTATATCATCTATAATAACTGATGTATTTGTCACTGCTGCCTGTATAGCGGGCCACTCAAATATTACAGAAATGTTTTCCTTTGCATTTCACAAAATCAGATGCACTTGATCTAACCTTCAGACTCAAGCTCTATAAGTAGGAGTGAATAATAAATACATATTTGCAACACTATTTCCTTTCCTAACTTTTCCTTTTATTATGCCATATATCATGTAATGAATCTAATTCATTTAGATTTCATGCAGAAGTCTTATATATACAACAACAAATTTATGAGAAGCCACCACCACAGATGAATTTTATTTAAACAGCACTGTTATATATATTTATATACCTCAAATTTTAATAAAGAGAGTTTTCAAGTAGCTGTTATATGAAAGTAGAGTTTAGTGGGCTAATTTGTTTGATTTCTACTCAGATCTATTGATGTTAGGAGTTATATTAAAATAATAAAGAAGCAGGAAGAGGAGATAATAAAAAATAACTAAAAATCCTCATCAAAAATATATGATTCTTACCAATCGACTAATCACAACATACACATAGATCCTTAAAAATTATTCCCTATAATATTCCAAATACTACCATACTTGGATCAAGATAATTGCAACACATCACTCTGTATACTATGAAAGACGAAATGAAGAGAACTTTTGATAAGTAAAAGCTAATAGATAGTAGCAACACTGCATCCGACAAGAAAGAGATAACATCGTCCTAAGCGAGTTTCCACATGAATAAAGAGTTTTATCTTAATATATAAACAATGGCCAACATTACTAATGCATAAGATTCCCTTCTAATAAGACTGTGAATAGAACAAAACTTAGGTTCAGAGAAGCAGCTGTGTAACATCTGTTAAGTATTTGCACACATCAATATGTTCTTTATATAATGAATTAAAATTGTGGAATACACACTAAAGCGGTTTTTGTTTATAAAAATACTAAATCTATCAGAAGACTAGTGAATTCCTTGCTATTCATACCTATCAACATTAGTCCCAATAAAGTCAAAGACAAGTTCTGGTCCAATTACACATTAACCCATCGCACCCAGGTGTTATGGCTTATTCAAATGTCAAGTTTTTGGCCCATCAACAGGTATCAAGTGTGTTAAAACTATATGTGACTTCAGCTATGTTCATCACAGTGGACTACAATGTCTTCATGCAGAGGTATAGCTTTACAAAGTTAACTGAACGCATTCATTTCATCGTACTTTTGTAAATAAAGCCCCTGGAAATAAGGATGCATGGCAGACAATAATCAAAATCACCTAACTAGCACTGCACAACCTAACTCAAGGCTACTCATGTTTAATGAGCCTTTGCTTTGGCCAACTCAGTGGTTATAATAGGTCCTTTGGGTGCAACAGGTAATGTAATAACCATAATCAAGCATCAAACCATGCATGCAAATATTTCATTATATAAAATAACCTATATAACCTGTGTATCCTGAAATCATTTATCATATTCTAACCATTTTCCATGATGTAACCATGGTGCTTTTTGTATATAATGTGCCACATATGAGGTAAGCTGTGAATGTGTGTGGACTTTTTGCTAATTCCAATATTTCTTGACAATGCTATAGCATATGCAAGCCTAACCAGAATTCAACAATGAAACCTAGTACATATGCCTGACCTATAAATAACAAATGTAACACACAAAATAACATGCATAAATTAACAAAAAGTTATACAAACATAGTTAATTACATTCACACAGCAATTTTATATGTATGTGCATGCAGTTAAACTGCAAATATGAACATACAAAACAATACAAAAATACAATATATACAAAAGAATGTGGTAAATTGTAAGGCTTATCAAAACTTTGTGGGAATATAATATATATATAAATACATCTAAGGTGGTATCTGGTTGGAAAATTACTAATATTTTTGGAAAAGCCTGAAAACAATTTAAAGCCATGAAACTTATCTTTGGAATTTTTCAATGCCAAACAAGTAAAAATCAAGACACATGAAAGGCGCATCCCTTCCTAAACACACAAGCAGAAGGAAGATACGGTGGTTTAGGTGCATATAAACAGGTGCAGTCAGCCATTTGACTTTCCTTCTTATCACAAACTGGAATGCACTGACATGCATGTCCATGCATTTATCTGATACAATAATTCAAGTCAGTAATGATTAGAGTTCAAGAAAAAATACATGGCAAGAAATCTGATATGAAAACTCTGAAGCTTCAAATCAAAAAATAAAATGAAAAATAGGAAGCAAAATTTTGCATTTTTATGGTATTATTCAATCAACTTATTTCAGTGAAGTCTCACTGGAATATATTCTTTATATGGTTCAAAAATTTTGATAATCAAAACTTCATAGATTTCATGTGGTGTAAGAAATCACAAGATCAATTAGTAAAAAAATAAAATAATGAAAAAATCCATCCAGAGATTTTTAAAAATGTATAAACATTATTTGAAATCCTTAAACATCTCATACATCTTTATTTTTTGTGTCTTCAATCTCAAAAAATATTATTACTTGGATCTTTTCATTAGCTGCATACAATATTTAAACTATTGGTAGGGCATATCCTAAAATAAACATATCCAACTAATTTTAATTTCCAACCATATGGCCACTTTAAACTAATATTACAAATTCTAAAACAGAGAGGACAATGAAAATAAGACAATAATAACCAAAATTAGACATAAATAACATAAGACAACACCGAGGTTACTGATTTAATACATGCCACAAACAAAAAGGTTGAACACATTAATATAAATTGTGAAAAAAGGTTAAAAATAAACATAATTTGTTAAACTAGTGACTTAAAAACAGCCATGTGGATGTTATTATGTAAATGAAAAAAAAAATCAAAATACTGTAAACTGGAATGGAAAAGTCATTGTATTTTACCCTATTTTATAAATATAAAACACAACCCTAAATTACAATTTACCATATGTAAAACTAAATATTGTAATATTTAATCATATCTCAGGCCCAATGTACTGAGTAGTCAATAATGGAGAATATTTACCTGCAATAACTTTTTACAATACACAAATATTTTCATATCTTTTGTGAGACGCAGCAAACACTAAGGTTACTCTACATAACAGCATCTTATTAGTAAAACCACTATGCTCAGTAAGAGGCAAAAGAATATGCCCGCCACTCTAACAGTGCAGCAACACTGTTATCTATGAGTCCCGACAAGTAATCTCAAATTATCTGAAATGGGCAATTGCTTTTAAAATTTCAAGGATCTCACTACTTAAATAAAGTAATTAGTAAATCATAATAAAAAAAACATGAAAACAAAATGCTAACTGTACAAATGTCATTGAGAAAGGAGTCTTTACCCATACAATGTGCATAAAATGAGTATAAAGAAAAAGGAAGATGAGAAGTAGAAGAGAATGATATGAGATACAAGAAGAGATAAAAAAATAAATAAAATAAAAGGAAAGACCAGTTACAGTAACTATAATACAAGAGAAGAGGAGAAAACATAAATACAAAAAATGAAGAATCACAAGATATGACAAGAAGTAGAAGATCCAGAAGCTAAAGGATAGGAATAAGATAAGACAGAAGAAGAAGAAGAAGAAAAAAAAAAAAAAAAAAGAATGACAATAATAAATGAACCAAGTTTTCATCGCAATCAAGTAAATGTGTACAACTACATCTAGGTGCATGTATACCTTTGTACCCGAGAGAGGGGGCTGGGGCAAGGAGCGAGAGGGAAGCCTACACCATCGCCCAGCCTGGATACTCTTGTGACCCTAGAATGTCAAGAGAGCGTAGGTGGTTAGTGAGCAAGCAGACAGGAAAAAAAAGTAAATAAAAAAAAAAAACATGGTGGTGCAGCTTCCATCACTGAGTGCTACATTGATAGGCATTTTGATCCTTGCCATAACACATGCATATCCCCATTAAGCATGGAATGATTCAGTAAGAAACACATAATTAGAATTTTAAGGGAAATTTTTAAGTGATTCAGTGAATGCATTCTAAGATATGTACATCACTTACAAATGATCATCATGTATATCTATTCTCCTGAATTCTAAATTCTGACTTCACAATTTCATAATAGAATTTTATTTAGAAGGATTTTTTTAGCTTTAAGAAAGTATAACAAAACTCACTTGATATTTCAGTAATATAGACTCTTAACAATACTAGATTTATCTATTATCAAGACTAGACTATATTTCATGTACATATTTTCTCTCTGTATATGTGCTTTTAAATCTTAAACCTACATTCTCATTCACAGATATGCTTCCTCTTTTCTCCTTGCCTTTTGCCAGTCCAGCACTTACTCACTCAGTTGCTCTCATATTCATTTATACTCATTTACTTGTTCATTTACTCTCCTACTCACTTATTTACAAACATACATACAAAACCCCTCACTCAGCAACACCACACATGGACTCACATGCAGAAACACACACACTCACACACTCGCATATATGTGCACAGACTCTCACATATGCAACCACAACTGCAAAAATGCACACACACACACACATATC